TGACTCGGGAATACCAAGTCATAGTAGGGTGCGATTTGTTAGGTCAGGTAGGGGCGAGCATTAGGAACCGTAGAGGAGTCTGGAGCGTTAGGTTAGGAAAGAGGAAGTTCGGATGTATAGGGGTCGCGAGAGAAAGAAGGGTGCGGATAGGAGCGGTGGACAGAGTGGAGGACTGGAGGAAGTTGCTACAAGAGGAGTTTAGGGATATCTTCTTCAGGGAAGGTGAGGTATTAGGAGTAACAGGGAGGACGGTGCACGAAATCCCACTGAAACAGGAGAGGGTAACTTACGTGAAAGAGAGAAGATACCCGCAGGCGTTGAGACAGCATATTCGGGAGGAGCTAGATAGTCTAAAAGAACAGGGAATCATAGTTGATAGCACCTCACCATTCAATAGTCCCCTGTGGGCGGTGAAAAAGAAGGCAGCGCCGGGGGATAATAAGGAAAAATACAGGGTGGTAGTAGACTATCGTAAATTGAACGATAACACGGTAGACGAGAAGTACCCGATCCCGAGATTCGAGGATATACTCGATAGGTTGAGTGGGGCCGTGGTCTTTAGCACGCTGGACCTCAAGGCGGGATACCACCAAATACGGATGCACCCGGAAGACCAACACAAAACAGCGTTCACATTTGAAAGGGGGCATTATGAATTCACCAGGATGCCGTTTGGTCTGAAGAATGCGCCCATAACGTTTCAGCGTCTGATGGACGAATTTTTGAGGGGCATCGATGACTCGGTATGCCAGGTATACATGGATGACCTGCTGATTTTTAGCAGAACGGAAACCGAGCACGTGGAGCATCTGAGGGCAGTATTCGAAAGGCTCCGGCAATTCGGGCTGAAATTGTCACGCGAGAAGTCTCTGCTGGGACAAACGCGGATCAATTTTTTAGGCCACACTATCTCTAGCGAGGGGGTCAGACCGGATGCGGCAAAGGTGGAAGCAATCACGCGGATGGCGGTACCACGGGACGTCAAGGGGATTCGTAGGCTTCTCGGGACGTTGAATTATTACCGGAGATTCGTACCCGAGATGGCAGAGTATTTGGTACCCATTAACAATTTGTTGAAGAAAGGCGCAAAGATTGTGGTGACACCGGAGATGGAGAATAACATTCGAAAATGTATGAATAGGTTGCTGACGGAGCCGGTGTTAGCGTTTCCGGATTTCGAGAAGCTTTTTAATATAACCACTGATGCGAGTGAATACGCGCTAGGGGCCGTTTTGTCCCAGGGGGGGAGCGAGGGTGAACGACCGATAGCATACGCGAGCCGTCGGCTTACGGGTGCGGAATCAAGGTACAGCGCTTTGGAGAGGGAGCTACTCGCGATAGTATGGGCTATCGACCATTTCAGGCCATACGTATTCGGGAGAAAATTTCGAGTCCATACCGACCACAAACCCCTCCAGTGGGTAGGAAAACTCAAGGAAACCTCAGCTAGGGTCACAAGATGGAAGGAGATCCTAAGCCAATACAACATAGAGGTGGTGTATAAGCCGGGAAAGGAAAACGTGGTGGCAGACTGGCTCTCGAGGGCCATCATGATCAACGCGGTTGAAGAGGACAGGGGAGGACCATCGCAGGACGTGCGCCAATTCTTGAGGGAATGGACTCCCGATGGCGAAGGGGCAAATGACACCGCAGGGATTGAGGACAGGGGAGATTCCCCAGAAGAGGAGAGCTCAGCGGAGGAAAGGGCAGCGGAGATGGAAGAAATAGAGGAGATCGTGAACGACAAACACCGTCAGGTGATTTGGAAGACACGAACAACCGGAATCATGAAGATCGATTTCAGAAGGTACGGGAGAAGTAGGATCCGCGTCATTTGGTCGCAGCCCGGGGTCAGCGAAGAACAAATCTGTACGGCACTGAGGGATGCCTCGGAAGCGGGTAAAACGCACTACCTATACGTAGGAAACAATACGGTATGGGATAAGATCAAGCGAATGTGGAGGTCCGAGCGAATAGGCGTGGACAGGACATTCATCCGGTGTAAGTATGCTGTGGAGACGGTACAGGACGAAGAGCAGCAGCAAGCAATCACAGTAGCATATCACCAGGGGAAAACCAATCACCGAGGCGTTAATGAGACGCTGCAGGCATTGCGTCGGAAGTATTTCTGGTGGGGCATGAAGAGGTCCATCCAGGAAGTCATTGGGAAATGCGAGATATGCATGCGCACAAAATACGATCGACACCCCCCCAGAGGAGTTCAGGAGGAGACACCTACAGGGAATATGCCGCTACAGGACCTTCAGATTGACACGTTTACCTGGAAAGGGTTTAAGTGGGTCACGGTAATCGACATATTCAGCAAGGTGGCGATGGCATACCAAGTGATGGAGAAGTCAGCCAATGCAGTTGCGGAAGCCCTACAAACCTGGGTGCAGTTCTATGGGGTCCCCGAGAGGATTACTTCGGACGGTGGTAGGGAGTTCGACAATGCCGCGATTAGGGAGGAGGTGAAGCGATTGGAAATTGCGTGGCATTATAACACCCCAGGACATCCTAAAGGTAGAGGCGGTATTGAACGGCTGCACAGTACGTTAAGCGACCACGTCCGTGTATATCAGGGTGAAAAAGGGTTGGAGCCGGATGTAGCAATGAGGAAAGCGGTAACAGCCTATAACCACTCGATCCACTCCGTAACGGGGTTTTCACCCATGGAAGTTCTATTCGGGATGCGCAGGCCAAGGCGGGATTATGGGGAAACTACGCTTACCGAACCGTTAGTGGATCAAATTCTCAGCAATAGGGTAGAGGTAGAGAAAACATGGGGAAAGATAACGGCGAGAATTAAGCGGGAAAAGCAGAAGCGGGTGGAACGGCAGAATGTACAAGTTCGCGACCGAATGGGGGAACTAAAAATAGGAACAATAGTTTACCGGAAATTGGGAACCAACAGAGGGAAACAATTGCTACGGTACGAGGGTCCATTCAGAGTGGTTGTTATTAGGGAGCATAACCTGGTAACTATTGAGAGCGTGAATGAGCCCAGAAAGAGGAGAACCGTTCATATCGAACAATTAAAGCTCCCAATGATAGAGTCGGGACATAGACCTATGGATTCGTAGTACCCTCACCGCTGTAGATAAAACAGAGGAATATGTTTTTTTTGTGGCTGTCAAAACAAAACAAGTTGTAAAAGATTTTTTTTTGTTTTTTTTGTTGTATTATTTCATGTATAGAGGAAATTGTGTTTTTTTCTGTTGTTGTTAGGAGTTTTCAAGTGGTAGGAGTTCTAAAGTGCTGTGTTTAGTTTCAGTGTTTTTAATTATTTCTTCTGTATTTAATATTTTTCCAGTTGAGTGAAACTATTTTATTTTCTTTTAAGGATGTACTGTAAAACCAATTGTAAAGTGTTAAGGCTGGTCACCGTGGGCTCCGATCTAGCAATATTTAAGTTTCCGAAAATCCTGTTCGTAAACTGGTGGGGGGGAGATAAAGACCGGAGACTGGCGGTATCAGCCTTAATACTATCTGGTAATGTAAATAAACAGGCTAAGTGTATATAAGGAGGCTTATGGAACGAATAAAGGAGTGTTATTTCAGAAGTCGTGTATGTTACATCTTTTCCCTTTTCCTTCTTTTTTTTTTGTTTTCTAAGTCCGACGACGCTTAACTTATATATATATATATATATATATATTTTTTTTTTTTTTTTCCGGTTGGCTCTACGGACCATGAAGATCTTTGACCTCGAGTGTGGTCACCTATACCACATCTCTATTCCCTATTTAAAGTACGGGGTAGGGTCATCAATCCTACGTTCGGTCGGTATGAGTTGCCTCCAGTAGGCCGACGGGCCTCACATACTCGGGGGGATCTCAGGCAGCGTGGCTTTCCTTGGTGGACGGTCACCCATCCAAGTGCTAACCACGCTCGGCGCTGCTTAACTTTGATTACCTATTGTAAGCGCCTTAGCCTGGAAGGCTACCCCAGCCCCAGATATAGTTATATATATAATATAATAACAATTTACCCAATAAGTGATTTTTTCCCCTCCTCCCTCCTGGAAAATATATTTGCAATTTAATAGTTCAGCAATAAGACACAGCCACCCTTGAACTTAAACTAATCTATTATTGTACTCAAGACCTATTTGTTTGGTTCAGAAGAGCCTTGGTTAGTGGTTCTCTTACTAAGAATACTGAAGTCTATACTGCAGTTCTATACTGAGAGTATAGAAGCCAAATATGGATATTATTTTTATTTATTAAAAATATCAAAAACTATCTTTCTATATTATCCGAAGTGCTGAAGGTGCTCCTGTTTTTTTCCACTTACCTTTTCAATAGATTTTTAGCACGTCGTGGACCATCATAAATAGCATTATTGTAATTTTTTAATCTATAACTTTTCATTAGAATTCCATGACAAATACCTAAGAGACTTGCGACAAGAATTGTAATGTATGAGGTAAAGGGTACATTTTTTTTAGTTTTAAAAATACAAAGTCCGATATGATTGCAAATTCTTGATATCTGCATCAAAATTTAGACAACTCAATTCATGTTTTTTCTATTTTCCAGTTTTTGAAACCTCAAAGAAATTGTATGACTTTTATTGTAGATGTAGCAAGATTTTAAGGGTCCAAATTAGCATTCGTTAATCATCCATGGAATTCCCTCTCCTGTGATACTTCATTCATGAAAATCGATCGTTCCTGAGCGTCAGAAATGGATCTATACTGCTGTATTTGGTCGATGCTTAATAAATTCTGTTGGGATTATTTGCACATCGGACTACATTTCAAGATTCCTGTCGCTTATTTTTCCTCTTTCTGTCTATTCATACCCATCCTCGTTATTTTTTTGCCATCCGCGTTGCCCTATTTCGCTAGAGGAACTATAAAGAAAGGACACTATTTGGTCAGGAGAGGTAATCAGACGACAGACTATAGTGGGGGCTAATTATAAGAGACGGCTGGGAGACCTCGGATTTAAATAGGATTCCTTCAGAAGGAGCTGACTTTTAATTGAAGGCCCCACCTAATGAAGCCCTTTGTCCCCGCCCGGCCTGGATTCAATCCTCTCCTCTCCGCCTGTTTGTCTTGGTCCCGTCGTTAGGGTTGACCTTCCCCATTGTTGGTCTGGGGCGAAAGCGGGGTTGTCCTGGGTTTGCCTACTTGTGACTATAGTCAGTCCAAATCCCGACTGTTTGAGTAGAAACCTTTTTTTTCTTTTAATCAGTGAGACAATGAATGAGTTCCATTCCAAAGAAATCGAATGTTTTGTCTTGTCTCAAAATGGGATTAAAAGATGTTCTTTCTCGAATAGCCATTTGTTGTAACCTAACATTTGCTATTTCGCTGATAGAAAAGTTAAAATAACTCGTAATTACCCTGATACATTCGTTCGTACTGAGTCTGTCAGTGTTTCACAAAGTACACTTTTTTCCGTATTTAGTAAAGTATATACCGTTGAAAAACCCATTTTAGCTTGCTTCTCTCCACGTTTGCTAATTGCTATTATTGAAGCATATCTGCGAAATACGTTTTGTCTTCGGAATCTCAAGAGATACGCATATAACCTAGTATTACACCAAGTTGAAGTGGCTCTATCCATTCAACCGCCCTCTGTACTTCCTTGCTATCTTTCTATAGCAAGCCATCAGAACTCAGCGACCTTCCTATATTTTTCACAGCCTACAATTTAAATATTCCATTCAATCCCGTACTTCTGACCTCTACCCGCCTCCTCACCGAACTGCTGCGTTCGACAAATCCTTTATAATTAAAGCCGTCTCCATCTGGAATACCATCCCTCCCGACATGCGCAATCAGTTTCCTCATTTAATTCTCTCCTTTTTAAGCACCTTGTTCTTTCCCTACCCGACTGATCATGAAAAATAGATAAGAGAACTTTTTAAGTTTCCCGGAAATGATTTTGTTTACTTATATTATTTTATTTTCATATGTTTGTATTATATGTATCTGTATATATTTAATGTTTTTGTATTAATTTTCTTTCAATATTTTAATTTTAATGATAATTGTAAATACTTAATTTGATTGTATGGCCACACAGGCATTTCCTCTGTATCTATAATTTGTCCTAAAGGGACAGCAGTCCCAGGATAATAAAAATCTATTTTCATTTCATTTCATATCGAAAATGTTGAATGGTGTTTACAAATCCGGAGCATATTAGGGTCATTTCGTATCAAATCAACCAGGGCCTGCTCCTCAGTGTCTTGGATTTTTATAATTTTTTGATCATTTGTTAAATGTATTAATATAAAGAAAAGTACCGAATTTTAGATTTTTTGGACTCAAGGTTTTTTAATATAAATTTTTAAAATGTTAAAAAAACCTCGAAAAACGGTGCGTTGTATATATACAAATATAAACGATTTTTTTTTTTCAAAATTCACAAATAAAAGTTAGTATTTTTTTTTTTTTAATATTATATTTTTCGAATATAGTCATATCGTATATCAAAATAATGAGAGAGAACATAAATAACTGAAAAAGGCGACACCTGTTTCAGCTTTCTAGGTCAAATAGTTCTTGAGAAATAGTCCTAAAACTATTTTTAAAACGAAGTTTTTTATTATTTTAAAAAATTTATAATTAAAAAATCGTAAGTCTGAAAAACTAAAATTTTGTAACTTTCATTTATTTAGGCATTCAACAAATATCCAAAATATATGATTCGCTCGTTAATTTGAAATGGGACGATCCGCTAACGAATTCCATCCAATCACTATTGGTGTTTAAACATGAATTGTAAATACAATACATTCTAACTTATATAGTAGTATTCTTAGATAATATTCCGCTTCTCCGTGCCTTAATCTTGACAACCGACTAGTTTATAATATTTTATTTTATACGAAATCCTCATGACATAATAAAAAATACGAAACTTTTGCCACAATCATAGACACATATATATATATATATATATATATATATATATATATATATATATAATATATATATATATAATATATATATATATATATATATATATATATACAAGTACAACTCTTCGAGATCATTTAGAACTTTATAAAGAAGTATGCTTTCTTGATTAGCGATTGTGTAAGAAGGTGATTTGACTAATTAGTTTACTCCCAAATTAGTTATTGCATTGTGAGTACTCACTTTCTTTAGTCGTGGTTTCTTAAATGATGTCGACCCACTGCTAATTTAATAAAACTTCATTGTAGTTTTAAAATAAATATTTTTCAATTAACAAATAAAGTTTGTTAGATAGAAAAAAACAGCATCCTTTGTTCGGAAAACTGTGAGTTGAATTGTGATGTATTGATCTTGGTCCTTTCTAGGAATATTCCATGACCCTTGGGAAACGAGTCGGTTCCAGGAACGGCACAGTCCCCGTTCCATTCGTTTCAGTTATTTATGAGAGTAATGGATAACATTTTCTTTTATTCCGTGAATCCCGTTTTTATTTTATTTTTTGTCCGGTTACTCTTGGTGTTTTTATCGCTGTGTCTTGTGACCTGTAAGCTGGGTCAGTAAAACTAGTTGGTTATGCAGTGACCCGTCCAACATGGTCTAATCCATGATCCATTGCGGACGAGATACCACTAGAAGAGCCCTCGAAGGCTGACGACGGACCGTAATGACGGACTGAGGATGGCCCAAGGAGACTGGAAGAAGACAATATCGATTTGTCCCGTCAGCTGAATCCTCGGCGAAAACAGTCCTGGTTATGGAGCCTATATCCACCGAGTCAGGGTTTCTTAAGCGGCTTCCTCTCATGTCGCTCCCGCTGGCTGGGTAATATCGGCGGGGAAGGAGGGGGGGGAAGGAGGATTAGGGTCGCATATGATCTCATATTGAATTATATCCACGGCTGCATTTTATTAATAGTGGAACTTACGGTTCTCATAGTATGGTTTTGCTGAACTATAATGATTGGCACTAGGATGCTTTTCAAGCATTTGACGATTTATAGAATCGTGGAGTTTTTGATAGATAAATACAATTTTTATTTGTTTCATGATGTTTACAATATTATTAATATAAAAATAAATCTAGTATATGTGGACAAATGAATATTATGACATAAAAAAGACTTTTTGAGAAACTACCCATTAGTAACACTGTATATTTACATTAGCAGATAACGGAGTCAACTTCTTTTCAGACATCTCTGAGGATTATCATGAATGGAAGAGGAAGCAAGGTTAAGAACGAGAGGGTTCGGATGGTTCTGAAGTTTATTATGGGTTTATTTAATAGGTGCACAGAAAAACTGAAATCAACTCGCCCAAAACGTAGAAAATATAACCTCCATGGACATCCTCATCCCCACATATATTATTACAGCAATGCTCGAAATCGGGTTAGTACCAAATATAAGCTCCTATCATGATCAAATACCTCGAATGGGGTACCGTTCGATTCATAATTTCACAAGGGTTAGCGAATCATATTCTCCACTTTTGTTTTTCTTTCTAAAATAAATAAAGTCGATACAAACATTTTGCCTCGCTTCAATACTGGAACGGTGGTATGTCTGTAGATCGATACAGGACAAATTAGGCTTTGAAGATTTTGATGCGTACAGCAAGATCCGGATAGTTGCTTCGGAACTATCGGTCATGCGTTTTTAAGCCCAAAACGTACTGTTTTCGAGATAACGCAAGGGATAGGGTTCCCATCCACACAATCTTACGTTAATTGTAGTACTGTCATTGAATACATTTCTCATTTCGTCGACTAGAGGCCTCTATGATCGAGAGAGGAGGAGTTTATATTATTTATCGATGGTACTTTTGTTCGGCAAGCAATATCATCGTTAATTCTTCACCAAATCCCAACATTGAGCCACCGAATTTGAAGGCCTCTTCTTCAGGCGATCAAAACAGTCCAATCACCCCGAAAATTCAGAAAAACAAGTTATGAAAGAAAAGAAACTTTTTGCGAATAACTAAAAAGGTACAAACTTTTTCTTTGGTTATGCCCATGACTATATAAAAGATTACTAAATTCCCTACAAAATGAAAACAAAAATCATGGAAATCGGACAAATTTTAGCAAAGATACAGATTATTGAAATTTGTATACATGTTGGTTCTAAACATTAACGAAGTTTTTAATTAATTTTTGTTTCCTTTTTTTTATTATATTTACCGATAAAGTAACAATTGATTTCTTTATCTAATGATATGTTGCATTATTTTCTTTTCTTGTTATTTTGGCATTTGGTCACTTAACAATATCCTGTGCGAATTTTTCGCACGAGCCTCCTAGTATTCATATCTTTTTTTATTCAAAAGAAAAAAAAATTAATTAATACTTTTATGTTTTGAGATTTTTATTTCATTAGATGTTACTTTTAGTAGCATGAATAAGATAATTTTAATGAGAAACATCTTTTATTTGGTGTGAAGGATTATATAGGTTTTTATCTTCAAAATCTTTTTACCTGATTTTTAATTTAGGTTTATTCTCACTGGATAGAGAACTAATCCGACGGAAAGGGGCGCACTAACAATTAGTGCAATTTGGCTAATGGTTTATACCACTCCATCTCTTCCATAGAAATGCGCTCATTAATATTCATCTAGCTTTACTTGAACCATTAAAATATTGAAATATATAAGTTATTAGGAACAGTTAATCATTTTAATGCAGCTTATTAAATTGAATTTATGTGAAATCAATTATTATAAAATGCAAGTACATCCATGGTTTCACGAACTGCCATGATGGAATGCTTTTATCTAAATATTACGTTGCTAGTTGGTTAGTTAGTTAGGCTTCACAACCTCATATTTTAGTAGTCAGTTCTAGGGATTAAGTACTATGAATAATATGAATATATTTCAATCTTGAAATATCTGTATATTGTGCATTTAATATATATATAAACCGAAAATTGTCGACTGTTAGGACGTATTTTTTTTGTTTTTACCTGAATACTTGAAAAACTTCTCTACCTTCGGTTGCAAGGAATCAAAACTAAAATTAGTTATGAGACAGGCATGTCTGTGGTACATTTATATGTATTAGTGTGTCATGATTAATTTGTGAGTCTGTGTCCATTTTTATTAAATAATTTACTAACTAAGAAACAAATTTTAATAGCTCAATGTTATGGAAAAGATTAGCTCCTCTGAACAAATACAAAAATGTGACGTGGTAATCTTTACCTCTGGTATACATATTTTAGTTTTCCTTTCACATTGTTTCTCGATTTTGTTATTAAATCGTCTTACGGTTCAAGTGAAAATCAAATGAGTACTAACTAGTTTTTAGTACCTAATTAAATATACAAAGTTTGCCGATCTCCAGATCGAAAACGCCCAAATTCCAAGAGTTTTCGTAAATAAAATAGTTGTAGGTTATGATGAGACAAAACTATTTACGAAGTTTCAGGCAGATGTTAATTGTTTGATATAACGGACTTCTTGCAACCCTCTTTCAGGCATTGAGGTAAAAAACTAAATAAAAATATCCTTGCATTCGATAAGTTTCGTCCTATTTATATACATCTTAGCCATAAAGAACGAAATTAGTTTTATGTAGATTTGTCTGAAGTCAAATCCATGTGACGCTCATAATTTTGCGCGACTATCTAAATGGTACCAAATATATCCCGATCCAAACCTTCATTTACACATGCGTATAAGTATTTTCCTTTATTTACCTAAACGTATTGAAAAAATGGTTCGTTAGATTTGACCCAGAATTGGAGGAAAGTCTGAGACTAGTTTGGAAATAGTCTACTATTCATTTGGTAAATTTTAGTCTCTATATTCGCGAACACTTGCGCAAACGTATTTTTTCTTTACACGCAAATATTTCAAAAGCATGTCCTATTTAGCAAAAAGTGGGAGTCAAGTTTGAGACTAGTGTATTAATGCTTCAGTATCATATTCATTAAGTCCTCATGTAACACACTGTCTAAACACTATCACTAACGCTATCTAATTCAATTTCAGAAGAAAATAAGTTGCTCTAGCTGGATTATTTGATTAAAACTTGAAAAGCCCCAATGCAGAGAATTATCGTAAATAAAATAGCTGTAGGGTACGATGACATAAAGCTATTTACGAAGTTTCAGACAGATGTTAATTGTTTGATAAAAAGGACTTCTTGCAATCCTTTTTTAGGCATTGAGGTAAAAAACTAAATAAAAATATCCTTACACTCTTATAAGTTTCGTCCTATTTATATACATCTTAGCCATGAAAAACCATACAAAAGTCATATATATATATTTATGTTTTGAACGCGTTATGAGGTTGAAATCTTGTATAAAATAAACGAAAAACATCTAATAGCAACGAAATTAGACAGCATTTATTAGCCTTTTATAAAGTTGTGTTAGATGAAAGATAGTTAGACGGTTATATGAAGAACTTCTATTTTAATGCTTTTATTTTTTTAAAAAACTTTTGCCTAAGCAAACACAAATAAACTTTTTTTGACAAGCTCTTGTTTCGATAAAAAAAACAAGGACTGTAAATTTATTCACCAAAACCAAACATGAAATATAGGCGATGATTTATGTAGCCAACAGAAACGGCGAGGAATCTATACTGAGCCTTGGCCAATCCAATACAAGCTCTGAAAAAGCGAAGATATTTGGGAAACTATTCTAGACTAGGCTAGGATACTAAATTTTCATAGGGTTCTCGGATGCCTTCTTAGCTACCGCGAGGAATCCATTATTGGAATGTCTCTTCACTTATTAGCATTTTCTTAGGATCCTTTGTTAGTTTTCTTTTATAATTCTTCCTCCGTCCGTCCCGTCGGGACTAGAGGTATTTCCTGTCGGGACGTAGAAGATATCTAAAAATGTCATCACGTTTTCATATGTTTGTAGAACACTTCGAAATGCAACGCTGTCGAACTCACTTAAAACTCTAGTCCGCTTTCAAAAGTTATTTAAAAAAATATAAAAAATGCTTTTGAGGGAAAATTGTCCTCTTCTTTTCTTATCATACAATATTATGTACTTTATTAAATACCGGACCATACGTTTTCAAACTCTCTGCGAATTCCGGTATAAAAAAAAATATTCGTATTAATCACCATCGTTTTAATGACAGACACATGAAGCTCTTTCCCAGTCTTCCCTGATTAATCCTCCTGTCGTCTTCAGATCCTCGATGGCGCAGTCCGTCCATCTTACCTTCTGTCTTTCACGAGATATCGTTCCATCCGAAGTTCCGTAGTGTACTCTTCTGGCAGCCCCTTCCCTACCCATTTCGATCACGTGCCCTAGCCACCTAATTCTTTCTAAATTGAAACGAACCATTCTCTTCTACAAGTCCATAGATGCGTCTTAGAATTTTACTTTTGAGCCTGTCAATACGTTCGGTAGATACTTCATGCAATTTCACAGCCAGAGTTTGGTCGTGCGACTGGGCAGTCTAGAGTTTAGCTGGTCCGAAATATGATAGATTAGCAGCCATTATTCTAGTTCGGGAATCGTTGACGATCGAACTTTAAAAACTGTTAAAATAAAATACACCCAAACCTGTATTAATCATATATTAATCATATAGCCTATATGAACTATATATGAACCGGTTATACCCTCCTTGAAGTAAGAATCTTTATCTTATCCTCATTAATCTAGGTACCCATTCTTGTTCAATCCAATTCAAGCCATATTCATTCAAATGTATCAGTGTTAGATTCTGTTATCTAATTTGCCCTATATTTACAGATTTAACATTTGAGCAAAAATAAAAAAACATTCTACTGTATACTGAAGATATTAAATAAGTCATATATTAATG